ACATACATGCAAACATCCTTAAGAATTTATGTCAATAAGTGGAATAAGATCATGTCACGCAGACCCTGTACAGTGCGTATAGATTTCAAAATGTCAGCAGAACCGTTTTTTATCGATACTACCTTAACAAAGATGCCATATTGCTTCAGGGTCTTCGTGTCTATTGGTGGAAGCAACACTCTCATTTAACCCACACTACTCAATTTCACAATCTAAGCCTTATCATTCACGGGGATATGTCACCCAGCACAGACAGCTGAGTGGCAATTCTGTCTAAATTGAACACCTGGTGTCATGAGTTTTATTACAGAAGCTCATTTGTATTGCCGTTTCGTGACTTCATTTCCGCGATTGAGACAGGCCAAGAGACAACCGTACTCGTCGGTATACGGAGTTTCATGATTCCATTGACGTTATTTCAGTGTAGGGAAACTAGTTGTCACGAAATCTATTCCAATATTTCTCGACATCGAAGTGTATTTTTTTACAACATAGGATTTGTTTTGTTTTTTTTGTTTGTCGTTTAACGCCACAATATTCAAGGTATATGACGGCGGTCTGTAAAATAATCCAGTGATTGACATCATGAACATCGATCCACGCAATTAGGATCGATGACATGTATCAACCAAGTCAGCGAGCCTGACCACCCGATCCCGTTAGTCGCCTTTTACGGCAACTATGGGTTGCTGAAGACCTATTCTACCCCGGATCTTCACGGGTCGGTCTGTAAAGAACTACCTCAGTAAGTCAGTCACAAAGATAGCGCGTCGTAATACATTGACATCAAGTACAAGACGTCAAAATTGCGATAAACGTGACGGGAGAGATTTCTAGAGTTGCTAATGAACCTGTGGCGGTTACATGTTTTAATCATCATTGATCAATTGGCCGATCATTGAAAGATGATTAAAGATGTGTCAAATAGATACCAAGGTAAACTCATAGATGGCTGTAGACTATCACTGTCAGCATAGACACGGATCGAGTCGCTAATACGATAGTTTGGATGTGCATTTCATCGTTTCAGTCGTAGCGAGGATATTCGTAAACGATATTGCAGTCAAACTTTCTGACGTTTCTCAATGTTTGCTGAAACGCTGAGTTCAAGATTAAAGGCTCTAATTATATAAATGATCAAAAACAGCGCTTATGTATTCGTGCTAGGGAACTCCCAGGGTTTTCCCCAGGAATGTGGAAGTAGTCCGTTAGTGTTTACGTCATTTCAAGAACACAGTCTCGTGAAAAACGTATGAACGTCAAATTGTGTCGTTCGGACACTTATGAACGTCAATTTCGCGGTCAGGGACCGACCACTCGTCCTATTGAAAAGCCGTATGTCGTGTGAACTTCAAATTAAAAAAAATATTACTTATTGAGCGTACGGCGCGATATATACATTGTATTTATGTTGCCAAATTTGGTGTCGCATCATATGCACGAAACATTTTTGCGTGTTACATTTTGTACCAGTCAGTAAGATCCGGGTAGAATAGGTCTTCGGCAACCTATGCTTGCCGTGAAAGGCGACTATGCTTGTCGTAAGAGGCGACTAACGGGATCGGGTGGTCAGGCTCGCTGACTTGGTTGATGCATGTCATCGATCCCAATTGCGTGGGATCCATCCTATAGCTGGAATATTGCTGAGAGTTAAACAACAAACAAACAAAAGAAGTGCATGTACAATTGAACAATCAGTAATATTCCAACTTTATAACAAGGCCCTATCAATTATCGAGTATGGTCGGGTACACCAGTGGTTCAAAACGATCCACCTCCTCGAAGTAGGATTTGGTTGGTTTGTTGTTTAACGCCGCACTCAGCAATATTCCAGCTATATGACGGCGGTCTGTAAATAATCGAGACTGGACCAGACAATCCAGGGATTAATATCATGAGCATCGATCCACACAATTGGGATCGATGACATGCATCAAACAAGTCAGGGAGCCTGACCACCCGATCCCGTTAGTCGCCTTTTTCGACAAGCAGTCACCTTTTACGGCAAGCATCGGTTGCTGAAGACGTATTCTACCCCGGATCTTCACGGGTCTCGAGGTCGAGGTAGGACACAACCAGCCATCCTGGCATTAAATATATATGTACGATATGTTCCAAGAACTACCTGAAACAATTATTTGTTCTCGGTTGGACATTTAGGATGCACGGACCCCCCTGGCCACCACACTGTTTGGTCCCTCCCCACAAGCATGAGGGTACATGGTACCTCTTCCGTCCTGGAGTAGGGTATAGAGTAAACGTGAACAAGCATTGGTACCCACACAACAGCGAAAGAAATGGGAAATCCATTGTTGAATTCCTTCATTCCGTTAACATTGCCCGTATAGAAAAACGATAAATGTTATTGAAAACAATGCATATGTAACCAAGACGTGAGAATGTTTTCTTTAGAATGAGGGTAATCTCACGAGACCTGCAATGATGCCAACACACACCCTTAAAATAACAGAAATTGGAATCGTATTTTATCCTGTCGCTGGATCCAACATGCATTCCAGTAACCAAATATCGATAAATACAATCAGGCAGTCACTGCCCCATCATGCAATTCAGTAACAAATATCGATTGATACATTCTAGCACGTGTCTTCAATTTGCTGCCAAAGGAGCGTTGACAAATATATAAGACCAGGTCTCTGTTTATATGTCTACACGTTAATTCAATCTGCAACTGACTTTCCAATAGTTGTGTTGTACACCCCGCACACTGTACACGGGGCAAGTAACGGTGATCAACACTCAACTTGCGTGTGGAGAAGCATATAAGGTAAGGGGCATAGAAACTATTGACAGAGCAAGGATCGAGAGACCTTGCTAAAGGCGAGAGAACACTTGATGAGCTGATACAGTTGGTGCATCCTTATCTTCGATTTCATGACGCCGGAGAAACGATTTTCGAGACCTAAGAGCGTGGAAGTGCCATGAAAACATTTAGGAGGGCGCAAATAGCGAACTAGAGCTTAGGCTAGGTTAGTGTAATTTTCGAGTGAGAAAAAATGCACCTCTTCTTCACGATTTTAACAAATTATTGTATATCATGTGTGTTAAAAAAATATAAGATGAGGTTTGAGTTTATTGCATCCTGTTTTTGTATCAAATGCACATTTTATCTCAGAAGGTTGAAGGTAGAAATAGATGGAATTTTTCCGAAGGGTCTGTTTCTGTTATATTTTTGTGAGTAGGGGACTCGGATTTTACGCCACCCAAATGACTCCACGACGTGTTGCGAACACGCTTTCAACATGAACACTTTTCGTTTAAATTACTATGGTTATATGAGATTATGTGCACAATAGTAATACGAAAGATTCGGTTGTTCTCGAACTTCCTTTGAGTAGTGTATATCCAACCGTCTCTTGCAATTTGATTAACAAGCCACTGTCATAAATATTCTGCCCGGCAGACTTTTGGGCCCGTCAAACCAGCGATTGAAAACGCAAGTAATGATCCACATCTTCGAGGCAGGATTACACAGCCGAAGACCCGGGTTCGATTCCCGCCATGGGTACAATGTCTGATTCCCCTTTCTGGTGTCCCCGCCATGATATTGCTGAAATATTGCTACAAGCGGGGTGAAACTATACTCACTCACGCTTGTCGTAAAAGGGGACTAACGGGATCGGGTGGTCAGTCTCGCTGACTTGGTTGATGCATGTCTTCGATCCCAATTGCGTGGATCGATGCTCATGATATCAATCACTGGATTGTCTGGTCCAGACGCGATTATTTACAGACCGCCGTCATATAGCTGGAATATTGCTGAGTGCGGTGTTAAACAACCAACGAACCAACCATGTCACTGAGCCAGACCATCCAAACGTCTTTCGTCGCCACATACAGGGTCCTGGAGACGTATTCTGATACAATGACTTTTTCCTCTCACTACCCCGTGTATTATGTATATTCAGAACCGATCTCCACAAATATAAAAACACAAACGTTGTCCTTGAATAAGAAATGCAATTTCTAATGATCTTGAGGTGTTAGAAGCGATTTCGTCATTAGTTCCTCAAAGCCCTAAACTCATTTCATACCATGGCCTCAAGGACATCCAGTCCAATACACACGTACAACTTCATATGTGACTTACCAAATCCAACATTTACTGCTAGTGCGAAAATGGAAACCATTCGTTATTATTAATACAATATATGGCTGAGTCATATAACTACAGAATGCAAAGTGACCTTGACAGTTACCTTGACTTTCATGAAGAAACTTTAAACTTAAAGTATCAGGATTGTTCAAGTAAAGGTAAATGAGAAACTGGCAACGAATAATGTACCAACTTTCACAATCGCATCAAAAACGGCCTGGAACTGAACAGGCCACTAATTTGTGATATGGTAGGATTTGACAAAATATACTCTGATGTCAAGATTCATACCTGCAGACTGTCGATGATGTACCATGTTTATGAAAGAGTTTAACATTGACCATGACCTTTGACTTATCTAGACCTAAACCTTTTCAAAGCATGTCAACATCAGGGAAAAAGAAAACGCGTGATATGTGATATGATGAAAGAAGCCATACCTGTATTATCCACTTCGTGACCACGACCTTTTGACCCGTGAAGATTCCGGGGTAGAATAGGTCCTTAAGCAACCGATGCTTGCCGTAAAAGGTGACTATGCTGGTCGTAAAAGGCGACTAACAGGATCGGGTGGTCAGTCTCGCTGACTTGGTTGATGCATGTCATCGATCCCAATTGCGTGGATCGATGCTCATGATATTAATCACTGGATTGTCTGGTCCAGACTCGATTATTTACAGGCCGCCGTCATATAGCTGGTATATTGCGGAGTGCGGCGTTAAACAACAAACCAACCAACCTACCTTTTGACCTTCTCAAGATATTTGCCAAAAGAAATTTCCATGTCCATAGCAGTGTAGCCTCTTATTTCAATAATCAGGAACAGGAGGACAATCGCCGATGGCAGCTAGTGGGACTGAATAATAATTATAAAAAAGTATACCTTTAGGTTTTCTATTTTCCTTGCCGGATCTTCATTGAAGACTTCCATAGTAAGCATGTGTATATTTTCCTTGTCCATCCGAACAGCCAGATCATCGACAAGCTGCAACAGCAACATGTACATGGTATCAATATGTCGGGTCAGCTGATATTCTGGAAGAGGTCTCTTTTGTTGTTAAACTGAATTTGTCACATATATTTACACACAAGATACTTCACATTTGCTGCTCGTGATCGATTATCGTGGGTTCGCCGTCTTGTTCATCACTACTGGAATCATGATCATAGTAAACATTATTATTATTATTATTTACAGATCAAAATAACAAATCGACAACTTGGTACTTGACAGCGTGACATTTCAAAAACGAGATCCGCATATTTGCCAAGTTTTTCCTGAATCTTGTCAATCACATTATTATTATTATGATTATCAGATTAAAATAAAAATGCAGCAAAGAGGGTGTGGGTGATCATGGCACAGTCAGGCTGGTTAGGCTCATCATCAGCTCAGGGCCCTTGCCCCCTCTACACGCAGCCCGGACAGCGAAGGGACTTCTCCCAGTAAGCGCTGCCTAGTCAAACCCCTCCAGAACTTTTCGGAGAATGTGAAGACTCCCCAACACTGCAGCCTTCTGAATGACCCAGATTGTCAGAAGGGCTGACCTGTATTCCTGGTAGCAAACCCGGGTACTCTCCCAATGTCAGTCAACAGATTGGGAGGTACCAAACCTCAGGCACCGAGAACAATGGGGAGTCGGACAACTTAGTACTTGGGATGCAAGCGTGACATTTCGAAAGGGAGGCCCGCATATTTGCCATGTTTTTCCTGAATTTTGTCATTCACATTGGTGTTAATAGGGACAGAAAATTCAATAATATAAATTTCATTGGATTTATCAAAAAAGGATAAGGTTAGGTTTGTTGGCCTGGATACGTCTGAGGCTGTAAACGGGCCTATTCCAAAGAATTTTGTATTTATCATTTTCCATGACGCCCTCAACATGGACCTCTGTCAAAAACCACAAGCCTGGCGAAGACGGTAATAAAATGATCGAGCCACCCCATCATGTCGCTAAGATACTATGTCTGTGCCAAAGCTGGGTATCCACTGACAATGTGTTGGACAGTCTCATTAAATTCATTACATAACATTTCATATTTACATTTTGATGCAAAATCACACATTGACGGTTTCGAGTGGGAAGAGACTGTTCCTGAGCAGCACAAAGAAAGCCTTCTGTTTCACTTTTCAGGCCAGACGATTTCATCCAAGCGAAGGACTCTTCTGATCTTCTCAAAACACTGCACATAAACTCTATGCAGTGGTCGTTCAGATAGCTTCTCCTTGAAAAACTGATTCTAGCCCGATTTGATATGGCGCTTTACTTGGTTGACACTCATTTCTGTACCGTCCAGCAGTACAGAACCATCAACAAAATCAACACTGACATTCAGATTATGTCCCACATCCTTGACTCGTGTAAGAAAACTGTGGAATGCCTTGTTTTCATCATGAGTCTTGACATGCTTGACAAGAGGATCTTCAGACATAAAAATGTGTGCAAAAGTGCACAAAACAATTCTATCATGAAGAGCCCCAACGTTAATGAAACCACGCCCTCCCATTATTATTATTATTATTATTATTATTATAACGGAATTGATTTTATTCCAATATACAACCTTTACTTAGAACTCATGCATATTACTCGTACGCACGAGTACAGGGCATGTGATTGAGACAACGGGGGCGCGGGTGGCCCACTGAAATGGGGTTCAAATCCAAAATCACAACTCTTGGTTGCAATTGATACCCTGCCCCAGTGTTCACCGAAGTACCAAACATCTACAACCTGCGTCTGTCACTTTGACCTGTCTCGCCTTGCTATGATTGAAAATACTGTTTAAACAGCAGTATATGGACATGATGTCAATCATTGGATTGTCTGGCCCATAGTCGATTATTAACAGACCGCCGTTATATAGCTTGAATGTTGCGGCGTTAAACAACAGACAATCAACTAATCCATCTGATAGCTTTATGACCCACGATCAATGATTGTGACAACTCTCTCAATCAGGCTGTAGAGATCATTGCCTGGTGTTGCTTTTATAGCGTGAGAATATATAATGCATTCGTAACAAATAATAAAAAATCCATAGACTAGTAGTAATGTGCGTGACAATACCTGACAGTGGGACTAACTTAACTGTCCACATTTGTGACAAAGAATTGATTTTTTTCTATAGCCCATTAGTGGTGCCAATAACGTTCATTCCCCACCGCCCCCATCCTCTTATGAACCCCAATAACCCCAAGACACCTTATTATAAATATACACTTTATCTACTTCACAGTCTTTTGCCGTGTACTTTATCATCTGGAGCTCCCCCCTCATCATCATCCCGCCCTGACCCCACTGAAGATAAAGTTTCAACATGCGACCCTCTTCCGACTTAACTTAGGAATTCGTAACTGGCTAGTGTAATATATAGAGAGCCAAACTAGAAAATGAGTAAATGTACATGCAAGGTCGGTTACATTTAGACAGCAATGGCGCCTCAGAGTTGAACACCGAGTTCTCTTAACATAGCGACGCTATATTAAAGGAAGTTCCAGCGCCTCAGGGGGAAAGAAGGCATTCATGTCCAACCAGCTTGAGAAGTACAAAGAGAGGCTGCTACACAAATGCCTCATACACAAAAGCTAAGACAGTATGTCTTGCAGATCGATTCTCTTGATTGCTACAACAGAATCTTCAAAATTACACGCGATAGTTCCGAGTGAACCCTGGAGGCGTCGGCCAAGCAATTGGGTCGGGTGTAGCTGTACCAATATTAAGGAGGTCATTTCCAATAAATCCTTTCGGATGTAAAGTCAATCCGAGCCTGCAGCGTGTACAGTGTAGCATTAGAGGAGCTAAAGCTGCATTAAAGTGTTTTAAGAGATGTACATTTTTCTTTAAAGTGGCTCTTGCATGATTTTGGTAAGATAACTTTCTCACATCAAATGGCTTCATTTATTGTTAAAATTGTCATCAGTTTTCATCTGGGTATTTAAATCAAGATTGATAGCTTCGGATTTTCAGATTAAAAAGTTCGAACACTAGTCCGACTCTTGACTCACGATTGCGCCCGTCGGCGACCTGTGGCGTGTCGTTTTTCGTCAAGTCAATTTATGAAATTCAATCCAGCGAAACAGTAGTGTGAAAAAGGATTTCATACTCGTTGAAAACCTAATGTATCTTCTTTGCGCTGAGGGGGATAAAGTTGGCTTAGTGATTTCATCTTCACTAATTCTGAATCCTTTCATGACAATGTTTCGGTATAGATGCTAGTACTTTCATAAAACATTAGGATGTTCCAACTTTAACCTAATTTTTTTCTGGTGGGTGGTGTTTTATGACCTCAGTTCATTTGCTTGATAAAGTTTGTTTGTTGTTTAACGCCGCAGTGAGCAATTGTCGACCTATGTGACGGCGGTCTGTAAATAATCGAGTATCGATCGTCGCAATTTGGATACGAAGACTTGCATCAATCGAGTCACCGAGCCTGACCACCCGATCCCGTTAGTCGCCTCTTACGAGACGCATGGGTTGCTGAAGATAATTTCTAACCCGGATGTTCACGGGTAGCTTGATAAAGGCACCAGCATCTGTACCAACATGGACCCGTGAAGATTCCGGGGTAGAATAGGTCTTCAGCAACCCATGCTTGCCGTAAAAGGTGACTATGCTTGTCGTAAAAGGCGACTAACGGGATCGGGTGGTCAGCCTCGCTGACTTGGTTGATGCATGTCATCGATCCCAATTGCGTGGATCGATGCTCATGATATCAATCACTGGATTGTCTGGTCCAGACTCGATTATTTACAGACCGCCGCCATATAGCTGGAATATTGCTGAGTGCGGCGTTAAACAACAAACCAACCAACCTGACCACCCGATCCTGTTAGTCGCCTCTTACGAGACGCATGTGTTGCTGAAGATCATTTCTACCCCGGATGCCACGGGTAGCTTGATAAAGGCACCAGCATCTGTACCGACATGGACCCGTGAAGATCCGGGGTAGAATAGGTCTTCGGCAACCCATGCTTGCCGTTAAAGGCGACGATGCTTGAACATCCATTTGTCCATCTTCTGCCTAATTCAAGACATTGAAACTAGCGTGAGGTGTGAAACTGAGACATCGTTTCTGTGTAGACAGGCTAATAATTGTTTAGTAAACTGATATACATAATGAAATTGAACTTGCAGACACACAAAGTGGTGCAGAGGGATTTGAATCAAGTTTGCCACAACTGGCAAACAGCCTGAGCAAAGTTCCGCTATATTTGTGACAACGCCACTTTCAAAACTGATCAAGCTATTTCATAATTTAATTACCACAGAACCCAACTTACACAAACTTTCACAACAACGACAATACATTCCTGTGGGGGTTAAGGAAACAAACACCTTTGTATGTTAACTACTAGTATGTGAGTGAAAAAATAATAATAAATTTTTAAAAAAAATACTAGTATGTGAGTGGCGTGTGCGATCGGTGGAGCAGGACTTGCTTACCCTTGACTCAAACACCTGGTGTCATCACTGAATTGCAGTGATCCTTTGATATTTATTTTCATCACCACTTTGGCTTTTACGCCTAATGGAATCTGTTTCGGCAGATAATCGCGACTGAATATTCTGTTTGTAATTGGATGGTGTTGTTAGTGTACGCAATTGGCACTTTCCAGAGCTTGGTGTTCCATACAGTCTAAAGCCGCGATCCTGTTACGACTGGTACTTACAGATGAAAATATTTTGTATGATTGATGTATGGTTGCAATTTTCTTCCATCCCATCTTCTTAATGAATGCTATTCTAGCTGGATTGATGGATTCCTCGGGCACTGACAGACGGAAGAAGTACGGGTATAGCTGCTTGTTGGACAGCAGAGGGGAGTTGGACAGATAGGAAATCTGAAACATACAAACATTAGCATCACATGGCATTGTAATGACAGAAACTAGGACATGACATCATGAGTGTCGTGATTTGGTTTCGTTTTGTTAGTTTTATAACGCCGCACTCAGCAATATTCCAGCTATATTCGGCGGTCTGTAAGTAATCGAGTCTGGACCAGACAATCCCGTGATTGACATCATGAGCATCGAACTTCACAATTGGGAGACGATTGGGATATGATCAACCAAGTGAGCAGGCCAGACTACCCGATCCCGTTAGTCGCCTCTTACAAGCATGGGTTGCTGGAGATCAATTCTAACCCGGGTTCACGGGTTGAATGTGGTGATTGGTTGGTTGGTTTGTTGTTTAACGCCGCACTCAGCAAAATTACAGCTATATGACGGCGGTCTGTAAATAATCGAGCCTGGACCAGACAATCCAGTGATTGATATCATGAGCATCGATCCACGCAATTGGAATCGATGACATGTTTCAACCAAGTCAGCGAGCCTGACCACACGATCCCGTTAGTCGCCTTTAACGACAAGCATAGTCACCTTTTACGGCAAGCATTGGTTGATGAAGACCTATTCTACCCCGGAATCTTCACGAATGTGGTGAAGTCTATGGTAATATGGTTATATGATAACGAAGAATGACATATACAGTATATGCGGCATTAGAAGTACGATGTATCCATTATTGTTATGTTTATTTGTTTGGTAAGTTGCTGTTTAACGCCGCACTCGGAAATATTCCAGCTGTATGACGGCGGTCGGTGATATCGATATTATGTGCAACAATACATGCCCTTGTGGTACAATGTCAGACCGTCACTGAGCCCAGCCATTCGATTTGTATATGTTGCCGGGGACCTATTATAACCTGGAATATCAATGTCAGCCACTGGACTGTCTGGTCTAGATCTTAGTTAAAAAGCTGGAATATTTCGGCGAAGAATCCCCCAAACCCAACAAACGGTGTGCTGTCAAAAAACAAACAAACAAAGAACAACCACACGCATTGTAACAAGCACTCTGAAGGAACAATGCACCCTACACCACTCAATAGGTTGCGACACAATCGTTATGGTTATTGAATAGGTCTCTTTGAAGTGACCGCCTCCGTAGTCTAGTACATAGAGCATCTGACAAGAGAGCGGAAGGTCGGGGGTGTCTCCGGTCACTTCACTATCATGCCAAACGACGTTAAAAGATGATACGTGCTTTTAATCCTGCCTGGCACTTGGCATTGAGGGTTAAAACAAAGACTGGTCGGCTCGGAGTCAATATACTGTGTCAGAGTAGGGTATCCATGTCATACTATGGCATGGTGCATCAGTGGGGTGGCACTACACAACCGGCTCAAGTCCAGTCTAGTACAAGCAGCCACGCACGCACACACACACGCGCACAAATACACAGGTGCATTCACTTCTGTCTCTATATAAGTGCAATAATATTGAACGGCAGGTTAAACCCAAATTTACCTCACCTCTTCTCGAAGCGGACAGTCTCAATAAAAATGATTTCACATTCGGTTCAAAATCTGATAAACCAAACCCACCATGGCAGAGAGTGTTCAGTTATTGCCAACGATCCTAAGAATTTCAGTTAAGGATCGTTATCTTCAATAATGTTATCCAAAATATATATCGTTTACGTAAAATATACTTCATCAAGTACTCGTGAAGATACGGTGCAGAAGTGGTCTTCTGGCAACCGTCCTTTATTGTGGGTGCTAGATATCTTGTAGCAGATTCCAATTACAGATGTGACTGGGGCCTTTGATTTGTCGGGACCATGTCTGTATTCGTTGGTTTCCTCATAAATTTGTGACCCATGAAGATCCGGTTAGAATATGTCTACAGCAAACCCATGCTTGCCGTAAAAGGCGGCTTTGCTTGTCGTAAGAGGCGACTAACGGGATCGGGTGGTCAGGCTCGCTAGCTTGGTTAATGCAGGTCATCGATCTCAATGGCGTGATGATTATGATGTCAATCACTGGATTATCTGGTCCAGACTCGAATATTTACAGACCGCCGTCATATAGCTGTAATGTTGCTGAGTGCGGCGTTAAACAACAAACAAACAAACAAACTTCATCAAGTATTCAAGTTCACGGAAGAAGACATCAGAATTCAATAAAGATAAGATCTTTGAACACACGATGACACTTTAAATTAAAAAATGAATCGAATTTCGAAATGGAACAGATTTTCATGTAAGGAATGATAAGAAAAAAATAATGTGCTGAATTTCCGAAACATCCTTCTCGTTGCAATATGTCTCATTTGATTTACAGGCCATTTTCAATCAATCATTAATAATTTTAGATAAATTACTTTCTCACGGTGCCATTTATCAAATCAATGTTACAATACCAGTTCCAGAATTAAATTTGAGCACTGGGAATCTTCACACAATATAAAGTCCCACTCATTATAATTTGTCTGAGAACACGCAAAATCTCATCAGCCCTTTTGGTTCAGATCACTCACTGTGTATTAGAGCTGCCACCACTCTTATGTTTTAACGGCCACTTCCTTTCAAGTCAGCTGGTTCAAGCAGGCCGTTGCTATTTGTAAACTATTACTACGGCAGATGCGTCCACTGGGGGTGAATAGCCTGATCAAGTTACACCTTGACATATGACTCGCACAATTAGATGCTCTCTAAGGTATAATTATGTATGATTGATGTTATCCCTACAGGCTGAGAAATTATACGAATCTGCCGTGAGACTAACGAGCTCGGCAGGACAGAATTGTTTGAATGAATACACCGCCATGTACACGAAAAATTTATATTACATCGTACAGGATAGGTCAAGAATAAAGGCAAGAGTCCTAAAGAAACACTTCAATACGGACCTACATGGTCATATACATGTATGACGAACCTCAGCTCAATTTGCAACTACACACCATACACAAAACATATCATGATCGCAGTAAAGAGTTGCGATATGTGGGTTCGAATCCATGTTTCCAGGTTTGTCAGCATCATACCCCTGCTCGAGGGATTCACCAAAGTAGTATACATCTGAAACCTGAATCACTTCTGGCTTTCCTCCCAACTTAAGCTCACACGCCGTTATGTAACTGGAATACGGTTCAAAGCGACGTTAAACTCACTCACTCACTCACTCAACCACTCACTCACCCATATCATGAACGTCCATGTAACGTTTGGAAACATTTTAACATGACATTTTAATTACTGTCTAAGATACGATACCTGATAAAAATTGGAAAAATGAAAACGATGTTCCTCACTGTAAAATGAATGAAAATGTTTAGAATGAAAACACACACACGACATGTTTAGATCTAAGCATGTTTAGGAATGTGTTTAAATCCAAAACGGATTAGACTTTAGGTGTAAACATATGAAATGAGCTATCGTCTCACAGCCTAAACACCACCTAAACACATATCAATAATTTAACATTTTTAGAATTTAAACATTGTTTAAAGCTTAGACATGTTAAGAATTTAAACATTTATAAATAAAGTACATATCAATTGTTTGATAGGCATTACTTAGAAGTTGACGGATGACATAGTAGACTCACTTTGTGGATAATAACTTCCGTAATAGTGTAATGGCGACGTTCTTGAACAAATATACCGGTTTACGTCATATGTTCTTGAACACAGATACTGGTTTACGCCATATGTTCTTGAACAAATATACCGGTTTACGTCATATGTTCTTGAACACAGATACTGTTGACGTCATATGTTCTTGAACACAGATACTGTTGACGTCATATGTTCTTGAACAAATATACCGGTTTACGTCATATGTTCTTGAACACAGATACTGGTTTACGCCATATGTTCTTGAACACAGATACTGTTGACGTCATATGTTCTTGAACACAGATACTGTTGACGTCATATGTTCTTGAACACAGCTATTGGTTTACGTCATATGTTCTTGAACACAGATACTGTTGACGTCATATGTTCTTGAACACAGATACTGTTGACGTCATATGTTCTTGAACACAGATACTTGTTTACGTCATATGTTCTTGAACACAGATACTGTTGACGTCATATGTTCTTGAACACAGATACTGCATGTTGACGTCATATGTTCTTGACCACAGATACTTGTTTACGTCATATGTCCTTGAACACAGATACTTGTTTACGTCATATGTTCTTGAACACATATACTGTTTACGTCATATGTCGCAAAGAAGCAGAGTAAGCATCTGCAAGTGTAAAAAAACTGGAACAGTTTCATACCATGCCATCATATAAGGATTATCGATTTCAGTTTCTGTATTTCAGTGTAAGTATGTGAACAAAAACATCTGTGTTACGTCAAAGAATGTATATACAAGACAAATCATATTAATATGGAATATGGTAATTTTTCTTTATGGTTGCGGTAGTTTTACTTGGGATAACTCGGTGTACTTCATTGTGTTCAGAATTTCAGAATTGCATTTTTACTGTAATTTCTTGTCCTCAACTTATGGCTAGTGTATTCCGTTATCTCGAAAGCGGCAGTTGGTGATGAAATGTGCACCTTCATGCTGCTTCATGTCATGTGTGAGATTGTGAAATAGTTTGGTTTGTTGGTTTGTTGGTTTGTTGTGTTACGCCGCACTCAGCAATATTCAAGCTATATGACGGCGGTCTGTAAATATTCAAGTCTGGACCAGACAGTCTAGTGATTGACTTCATGAGCATCGATCCACGCAATTGGGAAAAGATTACATGCACCAAGCAAGTCAGCGAGACTGACCACCCGATCTCGTTAGTCGCCTCATACGACAAGCATTGTCGCCGTTTACGGCAAGCATGGGTTGCTGAAGACCTATTCTACCCCGGATCTTCACGGATTTTGAAATAGGCAGGAAAGTCACTCCGCACACCGGGCCTCGTGTCCAAATAAATAGGAATCAGGGGATCATAATACTTGACCTGGCTGACGATGTGCCCCGAAGATGTGGATAGTTGTTACTGTTAGCGAAACTTGATTTGATACAGATC